TTAGAAATAAAACACAGAGTAATTGTTTATTACAATATTTAAGACAAAATTTTACACTTTTAATTTTTACATTCCGCTGGCAGTAAACAATTCATCTCTTCCCGTGCACTACCACTGCATGTGCAATTTTCTTCCCCAATGCAATGCCTAAAATGATAATAGAATTTTAAAATTACGGGAAATTTCCTTGCAACTAAGAAAATTCAATCATTCAACTTTTAAAATCTGAAAATTTCAAATTTGAGGATTAATACTGGGAGCTATTTTTTCCCACTTTTCCGGACATCTAATTATTAGATGTCCGGAAAAGTGGGAAGAAATATATGAAATATGAAGTTGAAAAAAAAAATATATGAAATATGAAGTTACAAATTTGATATATTTTGTCGGACGAGAATTTTACCTGAATCGACGTTTAACATGGTGATGACATGTTTGTTGGCATGCTGACCACTGATACCACTCAGCCCATTGACATCTGATTTCGATGAAGATATTAGCTGGCATAGCGTAACGGGAAGGCGCAAGAAGGTAAGCAGAAGCAATTCGTGAAGGAACATAACCAGGAGCACCTGGTGGTATAACATAACCTGGAACACTTGGTGGAGAAACGTAGCCAGGTGCATGTAATGCAACAGCGTAATCTGGTGTACCAGGTACCGAAACGTAACCAGAAGCGCTTATTGCAGGAGTGTAACCAGATGTAACAGATGCAGGAACGTAACCAGGTGTGTCGGGTCCAGGAATGTCAGCAGGAGCAGTTGCCAAAGCAGCGTAACCAGGTGTAACAGGTGCAGAAAAGTAGCCAGGAATACTTGCTGGGGGAATATAACCGGCAGCACTTGGTGTAGTAACGTAATCTGGTGTACCAGGTACCGAAATATAACCAGAAGCACTTATTGCAGGAGGGTAACCAGGTGTAACAGATGCAGGAACGTAACCAGGTAGATCGGTTGCAGGAATGTGCATAGGGGTAGTTGGCAAAGCAGCGTAATCGGGTGCAGTAGGTGTAGGGACGTAATCAGGAACACCAGGTGCAGGAACATAACCAGATGGACATAGTCCACCTGGACTAGGTGCAAGAGCAGTACCAGGTAAACTTGGTGCATAGCCAGTTATGCGAACACATATTGGCAGCGAAGTAGGTGTTGCACAAGAAATTTGTTCTCTACAAGTCCTTTCCTCACGAGCATCACCATAACAATGACCAGTGCAGCTGGAATCATCCTGTTCTGCAAAATGATTAGACAATTAACAGGATGGATATATGATACCCTTATACGATATGGAACCACTGTAACCGTAGTCCTTTTATTACAGTAAACATTACCGTAGCTATACTGAGCGATTATTTGACTGACAGCTTCGTATGTAACATTCAAGCATAATGAATACCTACCATAGCCAAGTCTTAAGCACATTTTTGTTCGCGAACTATGTCCGGTACCGCATCTGTGACTACATGGTGTCCAACTTGACCAGGAGGTCCATTCACAGCACAATCGTTCGAGACATACCGCAGTTTCCTGCAAATTTCAGATATTAAAGAAGAAAAAAAAAACGAGAAAAGAAAAGAACGAAAAGAAGGAAAGTATTAGCAGGAACGAGAAGATAATTCAATATCTTGTAGTAATCACCCGTATTGATTTGATATTACACTTTATTCACTAATTATCCGTTTAATAAACACGTGTAATTGTCATTAAGAACTTCCAAGGATTCAGGAATTTATTAATTATTTGTGTTCAAGTCAATCTAAAGTTATTAATTAAAATTATATTTCATCTAAAGCATTCATTTATTTTTGGTTGCAAAAGAAAAGAAAAAATAAGGAAATATATTGTTTAGAGCTCGGAAGAATTTAATTTAATTCAAATTTTGTTTTTCGTTTTTTTTGATCTGGAAGAAGTGCTGAGGATGTTAATTAAAAGTAACTTGCAATCATTAATAATTAGATTATTAAATCAGTGCTAAATAATCATTTTTTGCACAGAAAAAATCTGTCATATTTCATCAATCAGTATCCAAAAAGCTAAAAAGGCTAAACTTCTTTATTCTATTCATCATTCAATACCTAAAGGTAATCTTTTCCAAATACCTCACTCCCTTATTCAACATCTGAAAATTATTCAATAATCTACATTGAAGCATTTATCAACTTTTAAAATTTGTAGTGAGATAGCAACCTTCTGTTAATGATTAATTATAATTTGAAAAAAGGAACAAAATCAATTTCATACCGATTTTTCACCTTTACAACTATCAGCTGATCCATCTAGAAATAAGCACTCTCGATGTCGTATCCGTTCACCAATCCCGCAATCTTGGCTACACTTTGACCATGCTGTCCATTCGGTCCATTGTGGACAGCTTACTCCAGTTTCACAATACTGAATGTCCTAAAATGCCATAAATTATCCTGTTTACATAAATTATCCTTGTTTGAAACTGCTTAAAGTACAGGCATATCCCATTGAATATAGCCATGTTATCACTCCCGAATTAAATCAAATTAAATATCCCATTTCATCTATGAGTTAAATTTGCAACGGATGGAAATGATAAGGATGGTATTTCTCTAGAGATAAATAGATTGAAATAATGTCACCAAACTTTTAAACTTCTTTAGTGGAATTTACTGGATATTGTCGGTATCATAAATCATATTACAAAAGAAACCTCAGCATTTCCTGGACAATCAGCACCGATACAGGTACGATATCGTTGTTGCATCCCGCTACCACATGTTACCGAGCACTCGGACCATTCTTGCCATGCTGACCATATCATACATCGGCCAGCATGACATGGCATTATTTCCACTCGTTTTCCTAAGCAAGAATTTAATTTCATCCATAACTTAGTTTAAATTTAAATAACTTAATTTAATTTTAAATTATTATTGAAAAATTCAATGTATCACAGCTATTTCTAGGATATAAATGAGGAAATACCGGGACAGAAAATTCCATGACATAAACGTTTTCGCGTTGATATTCCGAAATTACATTTCGCGGAACACGCTGACCATTGACCCCATTCTTGCCAGGTTGAGCATGCCTGTTCCATGCATACATTCTGCTCACTACTTTCACCTCAAAAATTTCTTTCTGCTTTTTTTTCACATTTAAATCATTTATGGAATGATATGATAAGCGAATAATATGCTTATCAATTAATTTCTCTTTATAGTTCATTCTTTTAAATAAGTAAAAATATACAGACTTACTTCCATTTCAGTAATTTCTGGTTAAACTTTTAGAAGTGATTTGGAATCAATCAAAGGAGAATTTTTACCAATGCATTCCCGTCCCATGCAAACACGTTCCCTAGTGATGACCCCTTCTCCGCATGATACCGAACAAGCTGACCATTCCTGCCATTCTGACCATTCCTCACATTCATCTTGGTGACAATAAGTTTCTTGATAAGCGTCTCCTATAAGCTAAATTGTTTAAGTCAGTTTCTTCAGCTTATTTCTCATCGATCCTTCATGCATATCATTGATATGTTTTATGCCAAATGGAATAAAAAGATTTGTTTGAAAAAATAAAAATAAAAACTCAGAAAATAATACTAATATTAGACATTTAAAAATTGATGGTTCAAATCATACCTTGTAAACAAATTATTTTATTAAATAACTTAATCCGTTAGACTTCTGTTAAGGTGATAGTCTTTCAGAATGACCGGAATCTATTACGGATCGATATCGATCCGGCATGAAATTATGCTATTACTAAAAAATGGACATTTTACCAAATGCCACATATTTATTATAAAATTAATTTGCTTCCGAACCAATGCAATTATTGCCATCACAAATACGTGAACGCCTTTTGGTACCAGTACCGCATGTCACTGAACAGTGTGACCATGATTCCCATTGACCCCATCCTGGGCATGGTACCGTCTCACATTGTATTATCTGTAAATCGTCAAGTAATGAATACGATATTAGAAATCGACGTAGTATTTTTATAATATATTACAATAGCAAAAGTTTTTTATAGTATGATACGATACTATAAATCGATATAGTATGTTAATAGTAATGTATGGTACTTTGTAATTACTAAAGTTGGCATGATTTATCAAATATTGATCATCTAGATTGAGTACTGTACACTATTATGAACGATCTACGAGAAAGGAGAGCAATGAAAGTATACAAATAGCTAACATTTTGTGTTCGTTGTGATGAAATTCAAATTATTCTATTCTTTTTATACTTTATCTTATCTTCTTATCATATACAATAATATATTTGGGTAAAATTAAATAAAATATACTATACCTCATGATCGGAACCGGTACAGTAACCCATACCAAGATAGCAGTAACGTGATCGTGTCTTTTCACCTATTCCACATGTTACTGAAAGTAATCGATGATATCATATAATTTTTTCTTTTCTGTAACAGAAAAAAAAAGAGGATATTACGAATGATATTAATGACAAGTATTGATTTTAGTGGAAATTAATTTACCACTACAAATACTCCATGAAGTCCAATCAGCCCAGCTTGCTACACATGGGACAACTTGATGACATTTACGCCATTCGACATTTTCACCTTTACATTCTCCTTCATTACAAATACGATATCGTTGTATCATACCAATTCCACATGTTGCAGAACAAAATGACCATTCTGACCAGCTTGACCATACTATAAATTTTGTAATTTAGTTGCACAATACAAATGTCTTATACGTTATAAATTACTATAAGTACCGCTTATTGGTGCTTGAGGTTGTACTTGACCGTAAACTGGTACTTGAGGTTGTACTTGACCATAAACTGGTGCTTGAGGTTGTACTTGACCATCAAGTGATGATTTGGGTTGCGCTTGACCATCAACTGGTTCCTGAGGTTGTGCTTGACCATAAGTTGGTGCTTGAGGTTGCACTTGGCCATAAACTGGTGGTTGAGGTTGTATTTGACCATAAATGGGTAGTTGCGGTCGTACTTGACCATAATAAACTGATGGTTGAAGTTTTGACTGGGTAGAAGTTGGACATGTTGTTGGACATCCATTTCCAATTCCAAGTTGTTGCTGAATCTAAAAAGGAAATCATTCAGCTGATGAATATTTGCAGCTATGAGTGATAGTTTCCTCGTGATGGTTCATTTAAATACCTTATTGAAGTTTAGAAATGGTATTAGGCGGTGAAGCTTAATTAACAGGAGAGTTTAAAGGGATGAACTGATAACTGATATTGTCTAGCTGGAGCATTGATAAACCTGATAAAATGTTATCATTGTTAACAATTTCGTTTTATAAATTGGCATTTACGGATGATTTATGTATTACATAGAATTGATATTTATCATAAATTTCTTTACTTCCTGTTTCAACTGATCATATACATTTTTCATATACAATATTATATTTAATAATAGATTGATGGATTGCATAATTTACTTTAAAGTCTTTTTATATCTAACCTGCGTTTTCTGACCAATGGTCATATTTATGGACTTTTGTTGGAAATAATCTTGCCAATAGCAACATGATCGTGCCATTTGTTCACTATGCATACTCATTATTTTCTTATATTCGTCACTTAAATAAAATTTGGATATGATTATTTGTGAAGAATGTATTATAATCCAATACAGTATCCCAAATAGAAAATAAAACAATGATCATCTATTAAAAGAAGAGAAGGATACTTACGATCTAATATCAGGATGTTGATATGGATACGGTGGATATGATATACTGATATCTATAGTTGGAGCATAACCAGTAATTTTAGCACCGTAACCTAATGCGTGATAAAAATTGCGACTGGAGCATCGTCGGCGCTGAATGTTACGACCATATTCGCATGGTTGCGACCGAACTTGTCTCCCTAAAAAGGATATGTAGTAATTCTTCCATATCTATTCCTGTACCTTACGACATTTCCGACAGGTACACTTTTCCATTTCACTCATATTTGCTTAATTCATTGATAACTAATATTCATTCACTAAGTAATCCTTTTGAAACCTGAAAATGAGAAAGCTTACAAAGTAGATCAATGATAGCATATCAGTTATATTCTTCACCTGTTCGTGGCGAACATTCGGACCATGCTGACCATGAACCGGTAGCTTCAATTGGTCTACCGTAGCCAACATCTGAATAAGAAATATATCAAAATCCATGATTTCTTGATTTTCCATACAATTGCAATAGTTAACTTTCTACTTGATGCTATGACAACTCCATCTAATACTTGAGGCATTATCATAATGAAATATTTTATGCAAATCGCATAATTTGATCCATTAAATTACCGTGTTATTCTATTGATCTAATCCGATTACCTCGTTTCTTTTTCGATACTCCATCGGTAGATGCGGTGAAATCAGTGAAGAGGGGTGGGAAAGGATCGAATTGATGGCAGTCAGCTACGATTTCCAACGATCGTATCATATCCAATTTTTTCATCGGTTTTTCTGGTACCAAAACAACCTAAAACAAGCGAACTTTTCAAGATATGAATAAGAAATTCCAAATGAATGGATTTAATATATGGAGTAAGATTTTTGCTCTTTAAAGATCCTTTAAATCTATCAAACTTTCATCTTCAATAAACATATCAATGAATCTGATTAATGAATCTAACAGAGTGTCATCAATGCGTGAGATTCTAAAAATCAATCAATAAAGAATATTCCTTTTTAAAATTCCCTTGTTTTTTTTTTTATTCTTTACAAAATTTGGTGACGTACCGACCGATACATTCAATGGTCGACTCATTTATCATAGTGAAGTAAGTATACTTACATCTTGATCAATGCTATTTTTGCTGAACAGATAACAAATATGATCCTTCTCTCGCTCATGCAAATAATAAAACATCACTGAAAGTTAGTTTATATTAATTCATTTACAAATTTAAATAAAATTAAAGCATTACTTAAAGTATGATTTGTAAACCGTAAATGGGATTGTTCTGATATTTCTTCATTGAATAATCTGTGAAGTTGTTCTGCAATATTTAACTACAATTTGAAAGCTATTTCTAGGAGAAGTAAAAAGAATTAGTAATTTTTCAAGAGAAGTAAGATTAAGAGATGGAATTATCGTTAATTATTCGTTTCGAGAAGCAATAATTTGTGAATTCAATTAAAGGCTTTACTGTAAGTTTTCATCACTGCAACTTTACTTTTTATATAAAAAATGCATAATTTTATCATCATCATCATCA